GCATGCATAAATACAGACACATACACGTGTGTGTGAATAAAAACAGAGACAGCCAGACAGTCACGAGAGAGAGAAAAAAAAAAGAAAAGAAAAAGAAAAATCCACATAACTACTTTTCCGCCCCCTCCGCACGACCTCACCCCCCATCTCCCTCCTCCCCTCCCCACACGCGCGTGCACAAGACACCCAAAAACCCCGATATAGAAGCAGGGAATTGCAACAAATATGCTTGCACCGTCATCAACCCCCTCCCCCCCCCCCCCGCCCCAAACAACTGTCTGAAACAATACTATTCTCGTAGAAACGGCGAGGTGGTGGTACACCCTTTGAGGGGCAGAGAGATAAGGGGAGATAACGGGAGCCATTTGCAGAAGGGGGGGGCGATGTGGTGCAATGCGAAGGGAAGGGGGAGGGGGGGAGGGATGCCACGACCTCGAATGCACGCTCTTTCTCCCTCGATGTGGGAAGGTGGGTGGTTCTTTCTTCTTTTTCTCCTTCCTCCCCTCTCTCTTCCTCTTTTCTCTTCTCTCTCTCATCTTTCTCTTCCTCTCTCTCTCTCTTCCTCTCTCTCTCTCTTCTCTCTTCTCTTCTCTCTCTTCTCTCTCTCCTCTCTTCTCTTCTCCTCTCTTCTCTCTTCCTCTCTCTCTCTCTTCCTCTCCTCTCCTCTCCTCGTCTTCTCTCCTCTCTCTTCTCTCTCTTCCTTCTCTCTCTCTCCTCTTCTTCTCTCTCTCTTCCTCTCTCCTTCTTCCTCTCTCTCCTCTCTTTCTCTCTTCCTCTCCTTCTCCTCTTCCTCTCTCTCCTCTCTCTCTCTCTCTCTCTCTATCTTCTCTCTCTTCCTCTCTCTCTCTCTCTTCTCTCTCTCCTTCTTCTCTCTTTCTCTCTCTCTCTCTCTTCCTCTCTTCTCTCTCCTCTCTTCTCCTCTCTTTCCCTTTTCCCTTTTCATCCCTCCCCCCTCCTCCTCCCTCCCTCTTCCCTTTCTTCCTTCTCTCTTCCCTCTCTTTACCCCTCTTTCCTCTCTTTTCAAGTCTCTCCCTTTCCTCCCCTCTCCCCTTTCCGCATCCATCTACCCCTTCCTTTTACCTCTTCTCTCTCTCACTCTCCTTCCTCTCCAATCTCCCAAAATCTCCCTCTTTCTATGCCTCCTCCCGTCCCTCCTCCACTCCTTTCCTTATTAAAAAAAAAAAAAAAAAAGTCTTCATACATTCACAAAACCCAAAGGAAGCACGAATTACACCCGAGACCTTCTTGGGGATCTTCAAACGTGCTGCTTCGCGGGGACACTTTTAAGCCATGATTTAGACATGAATCAAATAGCACGCATTTCCGACACGAAATAGAAGGAGAGAGAAAAAAAGAAAGAAAAAAAATGAATGCAGATGGCCATTTCCGACGAATAAAATAGAAGAGAGAGAGAAAATGAAAGAGCAAAGAAAAAAAAACAAAATGAATGCAGATGGCCATGGATGCCTATATTTTCAAGTCTCTGTGGATAAAGAAAGTTGATATCGATCTAAATAAATATTACTGCCCTTCATGTATATATGAATATGTATATATAAAAAATATAACGCCAAAGAGATGAGGCGCACATGCGCGCGCGTGCACACACGCCCACGCTCACACACATACACACACACAACACAGAAAGGGGGGGGGGAGAGGAAGAGGGAAAGGGGAGAGGGGTGTGTGTGGGAGAGAGGGGAGAGGGGGAGAGAGAAGAGGGAGGAGGGAGAGGGAGAGGGAGAAAGAGGGAGTGAAAAGAGAGAAGGGAGAGAAAAGAGAGGAGAAGAGAAAAGAGAGAGAGGAGAGAGAGAGAGAGAGAGAGAGAGAGAGAGAGAAGAGAGAGAGAGAGAGAGAGGAGAGGAGAGAGAGGAGGAGAAGAGAGACGAGAGAGAAGAGAGAGAGAGAGAGAGAGAGAGAGAGAGAGAGAGAGAGAGAGAGAGAGAGAGAGAGAGAGAGAGAGAGAGAGAGAGAGAGAGAGAGAGGAGAGAGAGAGAAGAGAGAGAAGAGAGAGAGGGAGAGAGAGAGGGAGAGAGACGAGAGGAAGAAGAGAGAAGCAGAGAAGAGACAGAGAGAGAGAGAGAGACAGAGAGAGAGAGAGAGAGAGAGAGAGAGAGATGAAGAGAGAGAGAGAAGAGAGAGAGAGAGGAGGAGAAGAGAGAGATGCAGAGAGAGAGAGAAGAGGGAGCAGAGAACAAGAGAGAACAGAGAAAAATAGAGAAAGAAAAGAGAAAGAATCGAGAGAGAAAGCAGAGAGAGAGAAAGAGACAGAAAGAGACAAATAAAAAACAAAACAAAAGAGAAACAGAACAAAAAAAAACAAAAAAAAAAACAAAAAAAACAACAGAAAACCAAGAACAACCCAACAGACCAAAAACACGAGATAAACAGACAGCACTCGTACAACCCAAAAGGGTTACCCGGCGACCACTCTCCCACGCCCGGAAATCCCGAGGATGCTCACTCCAGATAGCATTTACTACGGTGCTCGTGGGCGCCTCTGAAAGTGGGGAGGAATGGGCAACGTTCAGCTAGCTCTTCAGGGAGTGACTTCTATTTCCTGAAACTGGGCTAAGTGGATGATAGCGAGTGCTTGTGGTCTTGCTTGTCTGGTGTTTGTTTATCAATTTTATTATTCATTTATTTTAGTTATCTATCTATCTATCTAGGCCTATCCTATCTATCTATCTATCTAGGCGTATCTACCAATCTAGGCCTATCTTATCTATCTAGGCTATCTATCTATCTATATATCTATCTATCTATCTATCTAATCTATCTATCTATCTAGGCCTATCTATCTATCTAGGCCTAATCTAGGCCTATCTATCTATTTTTTTTTTTTCATTATTTGGTCTATTTCATTTATCACTTTCTTCGCATCTCGTTAATCTGCATATCGGTAAAATATTCATATTCGTCGAATATTCTATCTCTTAATTCATTCTTTATTACTGTTTTGTAATTCATATTCTACAAAAAAAAAAAAAAAAAAAAAAACAGCTGCATTATACATCATAAATCATTTTCGCAAATGTGAGATGGCTGAAATTCCTGAATTGCAGCGCATATCCACAACTACTTCAAAACAATAACACAAACAATACAATACTCAAGCAATAACAATGACGGCGATAACAACAACAAAAAACAATAACAAAAAATGATCTACACATCACCACCATCGAAGTCCCCCCTCCCCCACCCAAGCAAATACAAAGAAAAAAAAATGATAATAACACAAAAAAAATCAAACAATAACAACAAAACCAATAACAAAAAAATAACCACACATCACCACCATCGAAGACCCTCCTCCCCCTTCCCCTAACCCCCCCCCCCCCCACCCAAAAAAAAAAAATAGTGATAATAAAAACAAAAATTAAAAAAAAAAAAAAAAAAAAATCCACACACAAGAACCACAAAAAGAAGACAATGAAGTCAACAAAAAATAGATATAATTCCAGCAGATTCAGAGGCTTCGGGGACCCCGTCATCACCCGGTCATTCACACGGACGGAAGTAGCAAGCGGAAGCGAGAGGAAGTAAAGAGAGACAAGTGGAAGTAATAACAGGCAAGGGGAAGTAATAAGTGACAAGTGGAAGTAATAAGAGGCAAGGGGAAGTAATAAGAGACAAGGGGAAGTAATAAGAGGCAAGGGGAATTAAGAGGAAATAAGAGGAATTAAGGGGAAGGAAATAGATGCAAAAGGAAGTAAAAAGAGGCAAGAGGGATTAAAAGGAAGGAAATAGAAGTAAGAGGAGGCAAGAGGAAGGTAATAGAAGCAAGTGGAAGTAAGAGGAAGAAGTGGAAGAGGAAGCAAGTGATAGCAAGAGGAGGCAAGCGAAAGCAAAATGAAGCAAACTGAGAATGGCGAAGTTTGTGAAGTAAAAAAAAGAAATGAATGATAGTAGGAATAATTACATCGTAACTCACACTACGGAAGTTGCAAGTGGTAGTAAGAAGAAGCAAGAGGAAGTAAGAGGAGGCAAGGAAGAGTAAGAGGAGGCAAGAGGAACCAAAAATGAAGCAAGAGGAGGCAAAACTAATGTGAGAATGGTGAGTTTGCGAAGTAAAAAAAAAAAAGATGAAAAAAAAATCAGAGCATATGATAACGAATCGGTATATGTTTTTTTTGTGTGTGTGGGTATGGGGAGGGGAGAGGAGGAAGGAGGGAAGGAGGGAAGGAGGGAAGGAGGGAGGGGAGGGGAGGGGAGGGAGAGAGATAGAGGGAGAGAGAGAGGGAGAGAGAGAGGAGAGGGAGAGGGAGGGAGAGAGAGAGAGAGGAGAGAGAGAGAGAGAGAAGAGAGAAGAGAGAGAGAGAGAGAGAGAGAGAGAGAGAGAGAGAGAGAGAGAGAGAGAGAGAGAGAGAGGAAGAGAGAGAGAGAGAGAGAGAGAGAGAGAGAGAGAGAGAGAGAGAGGAGAGAGAGAGAGAGAGAGAGAGAGAGAGAGAGAGAGAGAGAGAGAGAGAGAGAGGGAAAGAAGGAAGGCGGAGGGAGGGAGGAGGGAGGATAGGAAGGAGGGAGAGAGGAATAAAGGAGTGTGGAAAATATGCTAGTAAGGAGGGAGGACAGTAGGAAGGAGGGTCGATGAGAGGGAAGGAGGAAAGGAAAATACTTGAAGCACGTGAACTCTTTTCCTCTTTTGCTAACTCTTCTCCCTCCTCCCTCAATATCCTTCTGTCTCCCTCAACGCCCCTCCCTTCCTCTCTCCTCCCTTGACTCCTCTATCTCCTCAATGTCCATCTCTCCCCCCCTCAACTCCCTCTCTCCCTCATCTCCCTTACCCCCCTCAACGTTCTCTCTCCTCTCTCCTCTCCCTATCACCCACCCTCCCTAACGCTCTCCTACCCTCTCTCCTCCTTCAACATCTCCCTCCCCTTTCCCCCCTCCCCTCTCTCCTCCCTTAACATTCTTAACCTCCTCCTCTCTCCCGCACCCTCCTCTCCCCCCTCCCCTCCCTCAGTATTCCATCCCCTCCTGTCCCTCCCCTCTCTCCTCTCCCTCACTCCCTCCGTCTTCCCTCAGTATCCCTCCCCCTTTTCTCCTCTAGTATTCCTCCCCTCCCCTCCTCCCTCAATACCCCTCCCCCCTCCTCTCCCTCAGCACCCTTCCCCCCTCCTCTCCCTCACCCCCTCCTCCTCCTCTACCCTCCGTTCCCTCCTCCCCCTTCTTCTCCCTCCGTATCCTCCTCCCTCCTCTCCCTCTCCCCTCATCCTCCCTCTCCCCTCCCCCTCCCCTACCCCTCCCCCCTCCCCCCCTCCTCTCCCTCACCCCCCTCCGTTCCTCCTCTCCCTCACCCTTTCCCCTCCTCCTTCCCCTTCCCCTCCCCCTCCCCCTTCCCCTGCACCATCATCTATCCCCCCCCCCTACGTACTCATGGATTCAAGGCTATACAGGTTAATGACCCAATTGCACGCCTGGGTTTACAAGCGGCTGACGGGGACGTGTGGCTTCGAGTCGCTTTCCATGGGCCTAGGGAAGGGAGGGAGGGGAGGAGGGAGAGAGGAGATGGAGGGAGAGGGGGAGAGAGGAGATGGAGGGGAGAGGAGGAGATGGAGGGAGAGGAAGGAGGGGAGAGAGGAGATGGAGGGAGAAAGGGAAGAGAGGGAGATGGAGGGAGAGGGAAGAAGGGGAGAAAGGGAAGGAGGGGAGAGAGGAGATGGAGGGGAGAAGGGAAGGAGGGGAGAAAGGGAAGGAGGGGAGAGAGGAGAAATGGAGGAGAAAGGGAAGGAGGGGAGAGAAGAGATGGAGGGAGAAAGGGAAGGAGGGGAGAGAGGAGATGGAGATGGAGGGAGAGAAGAGATGGAGGGGAGGAGGAGATGGAGGGAGAAAGGGAAGGAGGGAGAGAGGAGATGGAGGGGAGAAAGGGGAAGGAGGGGAGAAAGGGAAGGAGGGGAGAGAGGAGATGGAGGGAGAAAGGGAAGGGAGGGAGAAAGGGAAGGAGGGGAGAGCGGAGATGGAGGGAGAAAGGGAAGGAGGGAGAGAGGGAAGGAGGGGAGAAAGGGAAGGAGGGGAGAGAGGGAAGGGAGGGAGAAAGGGAGGAGGGGAGAGAGGAGACGGAGGGAGAAAGGGGAGGAGGGGAGAAAGGGAAGGAGGGAGAGAGGAGATGGAGGGAAAGGGAAGGAGGGGAGAGAGGAGATGAAGGGAGAAAGGGGAGGAGGGAGAGAGGAGATGAGGGAGATAAGAAGGGAGAGGATGAGAGAGGGAAGGATAATGGGAGGGAAGAGGGAGATAGAAAGGGAGAAGGTGAGAGGAGGGAAGGATGACAGGAGAGAAGAGGGAGATAAGAAAGATGAAGGAGGGAAGAGGGAGATAGGAAGGGAGAAGGTGAGGGGGGAGAATGTGGGGAAGCGGAGACGAAATAGGAGATGGATAGGAAGAAGAAAAAGAAGGAGAAAAGAGGGACGAAAGAACGATTGAGGAAGAGAAAGAGGGGGAAGAGGAGTAGCGAGAAGGAAAGAAATGGGAGGAGAGAATGGATAAGAAAGGACGAAGAAAAGGGGTGAGAGGAGGAGGGAGAGACGAAAGAAGAGAAAGGAGAAAGTGAGAGAGTAGACAGATGAAGAAGAGGAGGGAGACGAAAGAGAGGAAGAGGGGAAAAAAGGAGAGGGAGGAGAGGAAGATTGGATAGGGAGAAGAGGGAGAGAGGGCGAGTGGATAGGAGAAAGAGGGAGAGAGGGCGAGTGGGCAGGGAGAAGAGGGGGAGAGTAAAGAGGGGAAGAAACCGAACCGGAAGAGAGGACAGGGGTCGGTGTGGACCATGATATCCAATACACACACACATACACACACACACACACACACACACACACACACACACACACACACACACACACACACACACACACACACACACACACACACACACACAAATATATAAATAATAAATAAATAAATAAATAAATAAAAAACAAACAATAAAAATAAATAAAACAAAGATAAATAAACAAATGAACAATAAACAAACAAAAAAATAAATGCAAAACAAATAAACATACAAATAAAAGAAAATGACGATACGAAAGGAAAGAAGTAAAAGACAAGGGGGGGGGGAGGGGAAGGGATAAACAAAAAACCAAAAAGAAAAAAAAAACCAAAAACAAAGTCAAGACGGAAAAAGTACATACGCCACGAACGAACAGGAAAAAGTACACACACAACGAACAGAAAAATACACACGCCACGAACGAACAGAAAAAGTACCACGCCACGAACGAACAGGAACAAACACGACAGGAAAAAGTACACACACCACACGAACTTACAAACGAACGAACTGAAAAAGTACACACGCCATGAACGAACAGAATAGTTTTTAAACCAAGTCGCAGTGTCAGTCATACGAAGTGCCGAGGGTATGATCAATGCCCCGTTTTCTTTCATTTGAAGGGGTTACTCAAGAATACGGAAGAGTAACACCTCGAACACTAAATCTAGGGGCAATTTTGATACGGACTTTGAGGGAAAAATGCAAAAAAAAAAAAAAATCAAAAAAAA